ATATTCTAAATTATTAATAATAGATATAATAGGCCCCATTTTTTTTTGAAAAATTCTAAACAATAAAAGATCCCAATAATTTTTAGCTATACATGAACCCCTTAATTCTAAATTTCTTATATCATAATTTATACAACGTCTTATTTTTAAAAATACCTCCTCCCAATAATCCCTACTTGTATCTTGTAACCACATCACACTCCCGGATAACAAATTATCATTCCAGATAATGTGACCATGGTCGTCTACTAATTGGTAGGTTTGCTGAAATATTTTCCGGAAAAAATATTCGAAGTCACGATGCGAATATATTTTTAACTCCGGCTTAATAAAACTTAAATTTGTAATTATATTAGGGTTTAAATTTAAATTAAATTTATCGTATACAAATTCCCGCCATTCTATGCTAGTTGACATATGGTATTTTTTATGGAAATTTTTTTTTTTTCCCTGCATGCTTCACAATTCCATTCAAAATGTTGGTGATTGTCTAATGACGCCTCGCAATGAGGCGTCATTAGACCCTCTAGAGAGGTATGAAAATACCTCTCGATTACTTCTAAGACTTTAAAAAATAAAAATAAAAATAAAAATCCTGGATATAAATATTAGGCAATGATACTTACTCGATTCAGCGTCCATAGTTTGCAAAGTATCGCGTTGATTATTACGTGTTATGAGCTACTGATACGACGTTTAGAGTACAACTAATTCTAGTTCGTAATATATGTTTTTGATGAGAAAAAGTATATTTCTATAACTATGAAGAGCATTGTCTATGAACTATCGTAACCAAGCAAATTTTTACATTATCACTATATATATATATAGTTTTATGCGGAGGAAGATTTCCAGCTTCTGCTCAACAAACTTGTAGCATGTAGTATCAGTTGTGTGGTATACATCATATGGTTTAACGAGATATAGTTAGCTATATGAAGGTGGTGTATAAAATATATATTATAAATATTGTAGAAAGAAGAATGTTATACGTAAGGGGAAAAAAAATAACGCTGTGAATAGTTGTAAAGAAGCGTTTATTAGTACCTGTATATACATCGTTAATTTTTCTACAAATTTTGTACTATTTTAAATATTTTAACAGCTACTTCCCTACATTCTGCTGTACCTAATACATCTTCATAATATCTAGAACCATGGATTTTTACTAACTCGTCCATACTAGTCCATACCTGCAAGCGACGCCCACAAATGTCGCATTTTTTAAATTCTCGTATTTAACGTAGTAAGGTAGGGTCATCATATACATGCTGTGTAAAGAAATGTTTTTTAGAACTTAACATAATTTTATGTCAACTGTTTCCTCTGGGCTCAATAAATTGTTATAATAGACCCTTCTCGGTGTATTTGATAGCTACAAAATGTTAAAAATATACCAGTAGATTATTTTGTGTTAAAGTCACTGTGATAACGCACCGGAGGGCTCGCGCGCGCGTTCGCGGCGGTTCTTGGTATGGTATAGTGGCGGGGGAAATTATACTAATATGGTTGTATGATGTGTATATAATTATTAATTGTTTGGATATAATTTATGTTAGTATGTACCTATATATGTAAACTATATTATAATATATTTGGGATACATTCCGGTGTATGCTTTAGCGAGATGTTTATTCGAATGGGATTATAATCTGAAAATGGTCTAATATTTTTAGATATGTGTGATAATGTACCATATCTTTAATGTTTTTTTTTAGTTCTTTATTTTACACAATATATTACAACAATCTGCTCTACTTATATATCTTAAGGAAATTGTAAATAATTTGTAAAATAAAAATACTTTTTTTAAATATCACGTTGTTTTTTTTATTATATATATAAGTAATAAAATATCATATTACAATAAAATATTACATTAATGGTTCGCGTTTTTAAATAATTGACAAAAATATGAAAATTACATAATAAAATATTATATTATTGGTCCGCGTTTTTAAATATAAATTATTGACATCAATATAAAATGTCATATTACAATAAAATATTACATTATTAACGAAAAATTAATGTGCGGGCTGCTTTTGCGGTTTCACGTGCTACGAATGCCCTCGTCCTCGGTCTGGTTACTTCAGACTAAAAAAAATTTGTTTTCTTTAGTATAAAATAATATGTAAAATAAAATCGTATTACCTCAATTTCGATCGAAGAAGCTAACCATCCCCTTGCCAATTGTTTGACTGCCTTGATTTTCAAATCTGCTATTAAACCATTACCAGTGAAATTGAGTTGTTTTTTCAATTCTTGGACATCGATGCGGGATAAATAATATTCAACATTGCTTATTTTTGTATCTTTGGGTAACGGCATTTCCTTTCCAAGATACATTGAAATATCACAGGCCTGACGTAATGTACTAGGTCGTGTATATATATTTTTCATCTGAATAACTTCTTCCACGGCATCATTTAATTGCAAGATCCTCGAGACATTCTCTTTAGTTAATCGTACATGTTGATCCTGTTGCAAACACTTTATCGAGAGAACGTTGTCACCGTTGTATTTATCTACTGAAGCCAATTTAAGCTCCTTCAGCATTAAATGAGATGGTCGTGAAAAATTGATGTAGTTAAGAGCTATATTAATTAGAGATTTATAGAATTCAAAACTCATTTTAACACACTGCGAGTTATTTGAGATGTATACAACGCAAATTAAACAAAAAATCAGGATCTAATCCTATATTTATAAAAATATTGCTATCAATAAAGAATGTAGTACAATCGATCAGATTAGCTGGCGGCGATGGTGGTGTATATTTGTAAGTTTTCTTGTAAATATTTTCCATATTTTCAATTGGACCAGCCATATTTATTTTACGCACTGAGAAATAATTATGATTTTAACACTGAATATGAGACAAGCACACGCAAAACACTTGGAACGATTATATAGAGTGACTGAATTTATGTTGTGTAGTTGTGTTCATAAACGAGCAAATTAAATATTAATTGGTGGGGGAGATATCGAAAAGTCCCTACAGGTTATTCGGGTGGGGGGAAATTATACCTCGCGTACGTAAGCGAACGCCAGTTAAATGAGATAGAATATACCTTCTCAAACAGATGCGAGTAGGCGGCCCAGTGGTACGGTTGTCGCTTATCATGCAAGTTAACCGGGTTCGAATCACGGTCCGGCGGATGAATTTTTAAATTATTTTCCACGCGCGGTGGTCATAGGTGGTGGGGTGGCGGGGGTACATCGTTAACGTATGTGATATATGGTGGGTTCAGCAGCCGTCAATGTATAGGGATGAGCAGACGGGTATAGTGGGATGAGCAGACGATATAGTGGGTTGAGCAGACGGGTATAGTGGGTTGAGCAGACGGGTATAGGAAATTTCCAGCAGGTTGAGGCGCCAGAACTGTCTTTCTTTACCTACTGTCTTACATGCTAGTCTATAGTTAATCTTATAATATGTTAACTGTGTAATTTTTCAAACATTTGGTTTTTCTTTTTCGCAATTGTTATCATCATAACTATATTGTGACACTCGCAATAGTACAACATAACAAAATACTGGGTTTTTTTTTATATTATATAATATATATAACACTATATATTATAGTTCTCTGCAAAAATTCATTTGATTATAGCCTCTACCTAATATTTAATATTCTTTTATTACCACAATTTCTATTGGTACATAATGTATACAATATACATATTATATCCAAAGTATCGTGCTTCTGATGAGTTCTATCTTATTTATGTTAAATTAAATTAATTTAGTAGGTATCTAACATTTTTATCTCGGGTGTCAGTGGCGTATTTAGGATTTTTTCTAGGGGGTGGATGACAAGAACTGTAGTAAACAGACCCGTGGGGGGCTACGCCCCCCCACACCCCCCAACAACACAACAATGACATAATTACTTTAAATTGCATATAAATATTTATTTTTATAATATATAATTTTCATATTATATTACATCTTAATATAATCAGTAACAATCTCAGTAGTCTCATTTAATACTTATAAAAGAAGGTCAATTTTTTTTGGGTCTAATGCCAGCTCATCTATGACTTCATCAACTTTTATTTCAATGTCTCGATGTATAGACATCAATGATAAACCGTTTAATCTCGTCTAAATGTACATTTATAATGTAAGTTTATTTTATTATAAAGGATCAAATAATTCAATTACCTCTTTCATAGAATTTCTCAAATACGTTTTTATACGTTTCATGCTTGAAAAACTTCTCTCTGGTTCAGCTGTTGAGACAGGAAGTGTGCAAAATATTTTTATCAAAAAATGTACATTGGGGAAAACATCTTTATCACATATTTTTATTGCTTCTAAGGCATTTTTGAACACACCATCCTGAATTTTATTTTTCCAAATCTGTAATTCACTGATACAAATATCAAAAGTTTCAACATGGGGTGAATAAAATTCAACAAGTGTTTTGAATTCTTCCCTCTCTTCTTTATTCAAGCTTGTTTTGAAAAGACAATCAAATCCTAAAATAAAAAAAATATATTATACATGCAACATTTACTAGATTAAAAAAAATACTACTCACCATTAAATATTGATTTATGATTTAAAAATCTGGTTGACAATTGACTGATAAAATTATCTAAGTATGGCACAAACACCGTCACTCTGTAATAATCTTCAACTGAATTAGTATTGGGTGGATTTTCTCTGTTTGTTTGTTTTCCTACAACTCTTTTCTTTGTCAATTCCAAATCAAATTCACTAGCTATTTTCTGTTAACATATATAATATATTAATTGTGTTATATTATTTTAAGAGAGTTCACCTCAGAACAATTTTTTTAATTTTTTTTATAATTAATTTTATTGAATATTTATATTTTAACAAATAAAATCCAATGCTAAATTATCTCTACATTTTCATATAAAATATGAAATTCATTTTTGGCATCTTCTCTAATTTTTTTTAGCGTTATTATTAAAACTTCAATCATATTAACAGTACATTTTAAATCGATACGTTCTTTCTGCAATCATTTACATAGTGGAAGTCCAAAAGAAAAAAGTAACTAGACAAATTAAAATATTATTAAAGATACACATAGTTTACACCACACAATAAGGATCATACATTACTAATAAAGTGTCAAATAGCATAAACTGGTGGAGTTTAATCCATAAAATTCCACTGGTAAGCACTAAGCGCTAACTGACACTTTAAAGCAAATTGTAAGAACGGCCCTAAATGTATTAAAAAAATAGTAGGTACCTTTGTGACACTTAAGGCAATTAGGAACTCAGAATCAAGTATACATTTTTTAAGGATACTTGCATCTGTTGTATCACTCCATTCTGAACAAATTGTATCAAGTGCTTTAACTACAACAGGAAATAGTTCATAGAAATCATTCAGAGAATCATATTTTTCTACCCATCTGGTAACACAAAGTCTTTTAAGGGTTTTGACACGAAACTCTGTATCACTTTTCTCTATTTCACTTATCAGTACATTTTGCCTTTTAGGGGTATTGAAAAATACATAAAGTTTTTCAACTACTCCTAAGCAATTTCTTATTGATTTGATGTTGCATGAAGTAGATACAGCAAGATTCAAACTATGCGCAGCACAATGTAGATATAACGCCTTTGGATATTTTTGTCTTATGACTGTTTGGACACCATTATATTTTCCCGACATGTTGCTTGCACCATCATAACCCTGGCCATAAAGGAAGTCACAATCGATACCACAACTACTTAAAGCTTTGGAATAATAATAAAATATAAAAATATTGGCAAATAAATATTAACATAATGTAAAATAGAAACACTCACCATTTAAAATAGAGGATGCTAGGTCGGACCCAGTTAAACTTTCAATTACATAAAATTGAAGGAAGTCTTCATGAAGAATAGCATCATCATCAATATACCGTACAGTAAGTGACAGCTGCTCTTTTGTTGATATGTCGGTAGTCTCATCAGCCAAGATGGAAAAACATTTAGCAGAGTTTACTTTGGCAACAATTTTTTTTATGATAATTTTATTGCATGATTCTATAATTTTATTTTGAATAATTGGGCTTATATACTTATTCCTTTTACCAGGACCCTCTAATATGTTTTTTAAAAACTGATCACCTTTGGCTCGATACTTAAGAATAGCACGGAAATTGCCTTCTCTAGATCCGTCATGGTCATCTAATCAATTATGAATACAAAATAATAATACAGTATAAGAATAAAAAAAAAACCATGTGTGTTACCAGTACGCGCGCGGGAAGTTAAACTTCTTTTGAATGGTACACGTGAGTGAGTGAAAAAGAAAGAAAAAATATTAATTAATTTAAAAAATGAGAAGAAGTATCCGGAATTATTTATTATTGATAGTTTTATTTTTTTTTTTATATTTTTATTCGACAGATCGATGGATAATTGTTTGTAGTATTGTTTTTATCCAGACAATATTTGTGAGTGAATACTAATAATAATAATACAAATAAATGATAATCGATCATTAATTATTCATATTAATTAGTATGGCCCGATTATAATATATAATACTAGCTGATCCCGTGCACTTCGTCGCCCTTTAAATGTATCAACTCAATATGAGTTATGACTCAAACTTTGTTCAATTCGTTATTCAATATTCGGTGTATGGTGTTCAAAATTTATCTTATCTTTTCCGTTGCCCGGAATAAAAATTCTGAATCGCAGCAGTACATTATCAGGTAGGCAATCTACCTGCGGTAGATCGCGGACCCCGTGCTGTTTGTACGGAAGTGTATGATTTAACTCTAAATTATCAAAGTTATACCAAGTTTATTTTGATATAATACGGTGGATTAATATAACAAATTTGGTTGCTCGTAAAAAATCACAACTCTTAAAAAAATTATGATTGTTGAACTCCTTTTGGTGTAACTTGGTGGGGTAAGTGCTAATTTCTTATTAGACTATAACCAATGGCAACTATTAATAAATAAAAATAAAATTTCCAATTTCCATCTTGAATCCCAATGTCCCTGTTTGAGCTCCTACTTAAAATGCGAATTTCTTAGCGCACGTCTACATCATAATAGCTATCTGTATGCCAAATTTCAGCCAGATCCGTCCAATGGTTTGAGCTGTGCGTCGATAGTAGTCAATCAGCTTACTGTTTTATATATACAGATATATATTTATATATAATATTATATATATCTGTATATATATATTATACAGATATATAATAAAACAACATTACCATGACAATATTTATTTATTTACGGACATGTACGCTTTCGCGTTCGTACGGCCGCCCGTTCGTACACGCCGCCCGTTCGCTTTTTTTTTTCCTCACTACCGTGCGTAAAGAAGTATAACTTCAAAAAAATAAGGGGCATACCAATATACCATCAACAATAATTCTCCCATAGTCACTATGCCCTCTCAATGGAATTTCTTCACGTCCACACAACAAAACACATTCTATGATCGGAATCAGTCTTTTTCTATTTTCGATGATTTTAGCACGTCTGTGGAGTGTTGGTAATAAAAATATAACTAACCATATAAAGTGTTATAGTTCTACTACATAATATACTCATGCAACTCATTTTACAGTATTGCATTGAGTTTTGTTAAGCTGACCTGTTAGAATCTATTTTTTCAACTATTGTCGGCTGATTATTTTCTTTTATTCTAATAAAATGTTCAGAGTCAGTAACTGAAGCAATATGATATTCTCTAGCTTGATGAATACCTAAAGTCTGTACAGATAAGTGTAAGATAAGTTTTAAAAGATCAAAAAACAATTATATTTTGGTACAATGTTTTTTTTTTTTTACTCTATGTGCATTTTTATACTGCTGGAAAGGAGATATTACAAGATTTCCCAAAGGCTGGTTTCCAACACCACCTGTATTACCAGCAAATACTACGCAGTACTTGCAAAAAGCACCATTTAAAGCTTTAGAATAAGCAAGCCAAGAATATTTATCAAGCCATGCATACTGAAATTTTAAGCTCCTGCCTTTATTAAGTTCCAATAACGGAAAGTCATAATTTTTTTGGGGCTTCCATACATTTTTTAAAACCTTGAACAGTCAAAATACCATTTTAATTACCTATAGTCTTATAATCTATATAATAATTAACTCTTACCAATAGTTTTTCTTCGTCAGATAGACGTCGATTGACAAACAAACTTATATCGGTTGAAATTACATCGTTACAAATAGGTACCTGTGGCTGATTATTTTTTGAGTTTTCTGAATCAGAATCTTCATCTTCACACGGCCTTTTAACTCCAAGGTTACCCTTACTTGTAAAAAAGGAAGTTATTTTTGGATTAACTGCCTTCATGATGATATTATTATTGAAAAAAAATAATAGTCACAAACATAAAGTAAGAATGTATGAAATGAACATTAACTATAAACTAAATAAAAATCGTATTGTGTATTTGTGTAACGGTAAACAGACCGTATGACCGACCGACGAACCATACCTAGTTGCTAATTGCAAATTGCTATTGACTTGCGTTCTCGACTAGCCGTGAGATTAACCATTTAACTATAACCGTGGCTACGAGAAATTTAATGATAATATCAAAAACCTCTGTTATCATAAATAATTTTTTTGATAATTATCAAACCTAACTTATCAATTAATATCTATATTCTATATATTAGAATTTAATAATTAGTACATAATATTATAATTTATATTATACAATCTCAAAGAGCCATGGGGGCGGATCTGTCCCCAGATCCGCCCCCGTAAATACGCCGCTGTCGGGTGTAGAACAATTAAATAGGTATATTACCTAAGTTAGATTGAAAATGCTTTGAATGTTTTATTTATACTCTAAGTTCTTATAACATTTCCTAAATAATAAAATTCGTTTCATAAAATATTGCCGTGCAAAAAGGTTTAATGTTTAATCAACAATTTGGTAGTTGCCGAAAACAATGTTTGGAAATTATTGGTTGAGATTACAATTGCAATCGTATTTTAAACAAAATTATATATAAATAATTGTATGAAAACAAATTGTTTTAATTAATTTCGCACTTAAACAATGAATGGGGAATAATTTGATGGTATCTTTTAGGCTACGAAATCAGAATATAAATCCTCGTGAAAAAAAAATACCCAGAATACACTATTACAGTATTACCTAACAGCCACACCGCATTTTGCAATAAAAGTTATTGGATCTATCCATTACTTTTAAATTGTGTGATAAAAATTAAATTGCATTTCAAATTAAATATTGTTTAAATAACTATAATATTTTTTATATTAGTAAATCAGTGTTCCCCAACCTTTTTGTTGTAACAAGTTAAAAATAATTTTCTCTTTAGTAAGGCAACCTACCACTACAAAAAAAAAAAAATCAAGTAGACCATAATAATATATTTTTACTATTAAAAAATTTTATTTTAAGCAATTTTATTATTTTATTTTAATATAACACAATAGCCAAAATATACTGAATAATGAATAACTAAATCTGTTTAATATAAATTGAATTTTTAAATTCAAATATTTAGGTATAACTCCAATCACAAATAAATAAATTGAAATAATATACCCATATGCAAAATAATATGATAATAACATTTTCTACAATCATAATAAAATAATACATGCATTAGGTACTAAAAATTTAATTATATCCATTGTAAGATGTATGTCCCATTGTCCCACAGGCCACAATACTAGTTATACTTTATAATTTACATTATTATTATACATATAGAGGTATCAAATAAAATATAACAAGATTTTCAATCAAATTAAGGTTAAATTTATTTTCATAAATTTTTTATATAGTCAAAAAGTTTCCTTATTGGTTTAAGAACATTGTGACAAATAGATTTGGAAACACTGTTGTAAAATCCAAAAATTACAGAAACTAGTTAGAACATTACTTTTTAAGTAATTTTTTTAACTTAACCAGTTACTTTTAATTCATAATTACTTTGTGACTTAACTAGTTCAGTTGAATGTGTAAAATAATCTAATCCAACTTGTTAAGAAAAATAAGTAACTAGTTTTTTTGTAGTTTTTTTTTTCATTCCAAAAATCCAAATGTTGCTTAAAACTGCTAATCATAAAAACTGTATTTACTATTTATAATTGTTTATGAGGTATTGAGTATTTTAAATTTTATAAAGACATTTGTCTTATTATATTATTTCTAATAAATTATTTATATTTATTTATTTAATTGTACCTAGTAACTATATCTTGTAACACATTAACCACAATACCAATAATTAAAATAATCAACATGAATATTGTATCATACTGTTACATATTACATAGTATATTTCTTATGTTGTTAATAATTTTGTGTTCTAATTACTTTACTTTACTTTATTTGAAGACAATCAAAACAAAAACACTGATTAAATTTAGAGTTTTTTTTTTAGATTCTGAGCGAAGCAATGTTTTACATTTGTTTGCTCACCTCCTTTAAACATTGCTTGTGACGGTGGTGAAGAGTATTTAGAAGAAACATACATATTAGATGAAATTTAGACTTATGTAGAATAGAAAAAATAAAGAAACATTGCAAAAATTAGAAATCGAATTTACATATTACAATATTCTATCAACTCTTAAACATAAATTTATTCTAATAGTATATTATATTGATTTTAATAATGCTTTTTTAAAGCCATAAATACCTTTATATCGCTTAATATTAATATCAAGATATTGACATATCTCAACTAGTTAACATGCTATATTCATACAACTTACATGTCCAAAATACTTTTTAAAATTTGCTTTAATTAATATAATTTTTATAACTAGTATTATGTACATATGACTGATATTTCAATTTGTTTCCAATAAATGGGTGTTATAATTTATTACTAATACCTACTATTACCTACTTATTTGAAAGTCGAAACATTTTATCAAATTATCAGTTGTTCAATATAATTTTTCTAATGTCATCAATAGTTCAATAATTTAAGTCAGGTAATTAGATACCAAGTCATGGCTGTAACTGGTGTGGGAAGGGTAAGGGTGGCTTGGTAGGAGTCAGCCCCACCCCAAAATTTTTAAAAGAACTTTTATATTTTGAATGTAAAAATGAAAAGTGTCCAGTATCTATGTTAAAAAAATTAACTTAGTTTTTGTATCAAAGTAATATAAAGTCTCATATGTGTATAAACTAATAATATTCGCTTCCGACCTTTTCGCTCATATTTCTGTTTATAGTAGCCAGTTTTTTGCGTACTTTGTTTTAACTACTTTGTTATAAGTTCGTCCTTAATTTGGTGTCGATTTCGTGTCGGTCCGCCCAAAACTCTCCTTCACAACTCACAAGGACAATTTATGGTTTCCTCGTACATATACACGGCCGCCGAAAATACGTAAGTTTATTTATAATATTTATCTGCTCGACGGTCGCACGGACTGCGTTATCGCGCCGCCCTGTAAGTACTTTTACCGATTCGAGATACGATCCGATTGCACCATCATATACAGTGTGTGCGCCGAAACTTCTCTTATACAGCGTGTCATAGTGCACGCAAATTGCCACTTAACAAAAACTTCATTCTCTTTCTACTTCTACTTGTCTACTTCAAACTATGTCCAAGCCTTCACCAGTCATCACCCGTTCGGGCTCTTCAACTTCCACTACTTCTAAGAAATCCACGTCGAACGATGACATCTTAAAAGCTATTGGTCGTATCCAATCATCTCAAGATAAATTATTGGCTGGCCACAAATCCTTAGGTACTGATCTCAAAACGAGTATCAATGCTCTTACTTCACGATTTGATTCTCTCTCACTCGAAATTTCTGAGCTCCGTACTAAAGTCGACCTCCTAGAATCTAAGGTTCTAGCTCTAGAGTCAAACACACCAAATTCATCAACTGTCCCATCCACCCAAATTTCAGATGTCTTACAGGAATTCACCGAGCGGGATCGATGCAAGCTCAATATTATTATGCATGGTCTACCTGAATCCACATCGAGCGATCTCCCTACTAAAATAAACGACGATAAGTTCACTGTACGTGATATATTTTCTAAACTCTCTGTCGATGAACACACTGATTTCAAATCGTTTCGTCTTGGTAAACCTACCACGACCTCAACTCGACCTCTAAAAGTTATCTTTGGCTCCTGTGAAGCTGCTTCTGCTGTTCTTACGTCCTATCGTCAAGCTAAAATCCAAAAATTGTCCCTTCTACCACTCACCAGCATTGTACGTGACAAAACTTTACTAGAACGTCAACAACTTCGTTCCTGTCACCTTGAGTTAGATCGTCGTGTAGCTGCGGGTGAACACAACCTAACCATCACGTTCAAAAACGGTTCTCCGTGCGTAATTTCCCGTTCAAAAAACGACAACCGAGTTCTTCATCGCCCTCATGTATAATCAACTCCAACACCCCCATCACTAACAACATCAATGGGTACTACCAGAATTGTCGCGGCCTTCGTACTAAACTTGTTAATTTCAATTGTAATACTTCATGTTTTAACTATGTCTTTATTGCTCTTACGGAAACTTGGCTCACTAATAGTTTTTACTCTTCTGAGCTCGGTCTCAATAAATACAATATATTTAGATGCGACAGGTCTCCTCAAACCAGCTCCTGTAATCGCGGTGGTGGTGTGTTAGTAGCTGTGCGTAAAGACATTCCTTCTTCCCCCCTTAATATACCTAATAATAATGTTGAGCAATTATTTGTCCGCTTCTCTCATAACTCCTTAAATTTTATAATTGGCAGTGTTTACATACCACCTTCGTCGCCCATTGAGCGTTATACTACTCATCTAAATACTATTGATTTTATTGTTCAAAAATACCCAAACCATAGTTTTATCCTCACTGGCGATTACAATCTACCATTTATTTCATGGTCAAATGATACACATGGTCTATGTTTCCTAACTCAAACAATCTCTGAATACACTTCCATTCCTGAAAGACTTGCCATCCACGGATTCTTCCAACATAATTACAATTAAATTCTCACCACTCTCTTCTCGATCTCATATTCTCCAACCTTAGCTCCATAACTGTTAAACAAGCTCTTGATACAGCCGTGCCTGCCGACACTTACCATCCACCTCTTTCACTCTCTATAAATCTCCCCATCCTTGCTCCTCAATCTACTCCCCTCAAATCATTTTATAACTTTAGCAAGGCAGACTACATACAGATTTTTTTAACTATTTCAATTGGAAACGTACCTTTCTATCATACTCCCCTGATGATTCCATGTCTGTCTTCCTTGATGCTCTCCATTATTCAATTTTATCTTTTGTTCCTAAAATCTCTTTTCGCCCTTCCACTTTCCCGTCATGGTACACTAAGGAG